AAATGCTTAGTTGATGTAATATCATGAGAAAGATGTTCTTCTATTGTAACATTTAGACTTTAAAATAAAAATAATGAATATAATTAAATTCATTAATATTAAAAAACACACCTTTTTTGGTGAATATTGTCTAAATACTGTGGAAAGGGTTTTGTTTATTTAGAGTTCCCACACATTTTGGCTATAAATTTGTAATGACTATAAATATTAGGTTAATATATGATACTTTCCACACCAGTTTTACAGAGCAATTGCTAAACAAAACATATTTTAGAGCTGAACCAAAAAAATAATCATATTAAATATCATTATTTTTATAAATCAATAATATTAAAATATATAATATTATAAATTATATTAAAAAAAACTTACTGACATCAACCAATCAAAACTGTCTGTTTAATAGCCTATGTTAAACATTGAAAACATTCTAAAAGTGTATAAAATAAACTGCTCTTTCGTATCATTGGACAAAATCACTCACATGATCAGACAGATGCCCCGCCCCCATCGGCTCTTCTGTCATCCCTTCATCTGACTTCAGATCAAAAGCACATTAATTTAAACATCAGTGATGCTTACGCAAAGTAGTGTTGTAAATGTATGTTACCTTGCTGTCCGAGTAAATGACATCATCTCCGCAGTAACTGTTGTAAAGTAGGTGAAAATCCTCCTCATCCGCCTCCTCGTCCAGATCCTCCATCCAACGACTGTGAGAATCTTTAGTCGCTGTCGCAACAGGCTCCGCCTTCCCCACCGCTGGAGACGCTGTCATTGGAGGCTGGGCAAACACACATTTACATACAGTTGAATTTACATTAATACATCAAATATTTCTCAAATGACGTTTAACAGATTCAGGAATTTCTCACAGTATTCCCTCTAATATTTGTTCTTCTGGAGAAAGTCTTATTTGTTTGATTTCAGCTAGAATAAAAGCAGTTCTTAATCGTCTAAACCCATTTTAGGGTCAATATTATTCGCCCCTTCAGCAATATTAGTGTTGGATTGTCTCCAGAACAAAACACTGTTATACAATGACTTGCCTAATTACCCTAAATTTACCCTAATTACTCTAGTGAAGCCTTTACATGTCACTGTAGGCTGAATACTAGTGTCTTGAAGAATATCTAGTCTAATATTATTTACTGTCATCATGGCGAAGAGAAAAGAAATCAGTTATTAGAGATGAGTTATTAAAGCTATTATGATTAGAAAAGTGTCAAAAAACTTAAAAAAGCAACAATATCTGTTATTAATAATATGATTTATTTATCCATCATGTATTGAACAAAACAAAGGTTATTATTAGCTGTTTATTGGCCAAGTGTATAAAAAAATAAATCAAAATGTATAAATTATTAGCAATAATAAGAGTAATATTAATATAGTAACTTTCATTCTTATGGTATTANAAGCATTTATTACAACAACAATCCATTCTAGATACTGTTCAATAAAATAATAATAATAATAATAATAATAAATAATTTAT